GTGTCTGTGTGTCTGTGTCTGTGTGTGTGTGTGTGTGTGTGTGTGTGAGAGAGAGAGAGAGAGAGAGAGAGAGAGAGAGAGAGAGAGAGAGAGAGAGAGAGAAGTGTGGGATAGGATGATCTAGGACCTAGAAGAGACATGATACTAGACACATGAAAGCCTGTTGGGTCTCCAGGGATGGAATTTGGGAAAGAGCCTGCACAGTCTGCTCCTGGACCGTAAAGAAATACATTGTTAAGGACAGCAAGACAGACAATGCCCTGAGCTCTGCCTGGAATTCAGGGCTGAGTTAGGCTCTGGGGCTATACTGCTCGTTTCAGCACTGTTCATTTTGATGGCATTTCTGGGCCATGTGAAACTCAACCTTTAGCCAGCTTATGGCATATGGTTATAGAATTTATTTTTCAATTTATTAGCTCTCCCTCTTTATTTTCTCTATTTCCTGATATCTTCCCATGAGATTAATCTCCTTTCCCTACACCCTTTTTCATATTTTCCAGTTTTGTTTTCCCCACAAATGCAGCGTTTCTCTCCTCCCCCCCCCCTTTCTGCTGATCACTCATTTGCTTCCTTTCTCTTTCCTTCCTTAAGAGACAGAGGGAAATGAGAAGAATAGCAGGGGGATTTCCAAGTGGTTCTTCTCTGTGTTATTAATTACTGTTACAAGGCAGGTGATTCTTAACTAATAACAAAGTTGTAAATTGCTACTAACTATAAGATATTTCTCATTTGTCAGCGCTGATTGATTTGATTAATATTCCACTCTTTAGAATTATTTCAAGCTGCACTTCTAATCAACTCTACCCATGATACAGATGGCAGACTCCTACCCTGGGATAGGAGCCTATCACTTTGTGATATTTCTCAGGACCTTGCTACCTATCCTGAGGCCCATGGCTTTGACTGGAGGAGCAGTCTACTGGAGAGGGCACAGGCTAGGATTCAGGAGCTGCCTGAGATATCTGTATGTGCTGTCTTCTATGTGTAATTTGAAAAACAATACTTTATTAAGGGATGTAAGTGTATTGAAAACAACAACAACAACAACAACAAACTATTTTTCTTAAGTCTCTTGAGAATTCTTTAAAGTCCACATTCAAGGTTAGAAGGTCTATCCTTAGTGTATATGACTGGAGGAGAGAGATGTGTTGAGAATGAGGTTGGTAACCAAAGCCAAAGGAGCTCAGCGATGGAACACTGGTAAGACTCTATCTTTTGGAAAGAGGTTGTATTTTCTCAAAGTCCTATTGTATCCCACAATGGTATCCAGAATGCATTTTTTTAAGCTATCAATAGCTGCTGCGTCAGTACCTCTGGAGTTTTCATCTTAATTATATTATTAAGTGAAGTACCATTCTGTCAGGGCACTGAACATGATTTATGACGTCTGCCTATTAAAGGATCGATTGTGAATATCGCTACTATCATCTATCAATATTCTCAAGCCTGGGGTATTTCTCACATTGGGATATTTGTGGTAGCAGAATGATAGACTGTAGGAAAAGACTATTTCTTCTTCTCAGAGCTGCCTTTCCAGGTGCAGCAGCAGCAGGGGGGGGGGTATGTGGAGCACCAGCAGCCCTCCTTAATTCTTATAGCATCTTACACCTAGAGAGGATGTAAAGATTTTTTTTTCCCACTCCTTAATGCTAAAGCCAGTGAATTCTCCCTGGGGGCTAGTAGAGAAAGAGAAGACAAGAGCTGTTTTTAGGGAAGAAGTAACGCCTGCAGGTCGATACCAGGGGCGAGCATTTCCTAGCTGCCAGGTGATTTTCTATGAGACATGTAGGAGGAAAAAACCAGCAACGAGCAGCCTTTACAGGAGGATGGATGGCTGGGTGCCGGGGGCAGATTTTATTTTTCTGGAACAGATGCCTGGCCCTGCCTTTGCCCGCGGACTCGGAGGTGTTCAATTTAGGAAATCAATAAAAGTTCTCTGCTCCTTAGCGCCCCTGCCTCCACCTGCTCCTGCTGCCTCTGCAAAGGTGGAGGCGGGTGCGAAAGACGCAGTGTCTGGGCCTGCTGGACCCAGCCAGCTCAGATCTTTTGTCTCCAGACAGCACAGCGCCTGGTGTTTTCTACGCTCAGGGGGGCATGCCACCGGCACCAGGTTACTATCTAGTCTCTGGCCCTCAGCTTTAGGAAAATGGGGGGGAAATTCTCCCTGTGGCAGAGAAGCTGGAGAAGCCCAGAGGGGGTGGGGACTGGAATGACCTGTGTGTGGCAAGGGGCAGCCAGGACAGTGCCTTGTGCCTTGTCTCAGTCCCTTCTCCCTGGGCCCTTGGTTGGGCATGCACCCAGATGCCAACACTGGAGAGCCCCTCTGGCTGGTCATGCACTGGAGTCAGTCAAGCGCCCCCTGGCACTCAAGAGAAGCTCATCTAGCTTGGAGCAGAGGTATTAGCAGACACCTGTGCAGTTGGACGCTCAAGATGTGGACCTGGCCTCTGGGTGACTAGCAATTGGTTCCTACCCATACCCAGACACCGCAGGCCCACACCCGACTTTCCTCTCAGGATTCCAGCGAGAAGAAGAATACGGTACTGCCCTTCTGTCTCCCTAGTCCAGAGGCTTGGAGCCGCAAGAACCACAGTTGTCAGGAAAGAATTGGGATTGCTGATGGGCATACCTTGGGTTTGGAACCTCTTCGATTTCCCTGATGCCCAGCACAGCACCCTGCTGCCCTGTACTGGGCAGTATGTCCATCAGAGAAACTATGATCTAGGCCTAGCCGTGTAACCTCATTTATCTGGTTGCCTGCTTCCCCAGCCTGGCTGCCTTGCTTCAAGACCTACCCTTCGTTGGCCAGAACCATTCATTTGTTGTCAGGTCTGGAAACTACCCCAGATAAAGGTCAATGATGGACACATTGAGACAGTAGTCTCAATAAATGTAGCTGGTTTTCATGCCAAATAAGCAACCTCCTCTCCTCCTCCTAACACACACACACACACACACACACACACACACACACACACACACTTACTTCAGACCAGCCACCATGCCGGCAAGTCCTCAGACCAATCTTTACTTTGTCTTGGTGTGACTGGGTTATTGGCTGCCTCTGGTCCTTCAGTCCTAGACTCAACCTCCAACTGAGACATTTTGGAAGGAAGGTGGGAAGTCCACAATGGGGAGCATAGAAGCCTGAAGCAAGTCTCAACAGCTCCCCAGTGTGCCCCCCTTGGGTCAGCACCAAGAAAGGAGGGTTTTGGTTAAATAAGAGCTTTCTGAGAATGGGGCAATGGAGTTTCTGTTCCAAAGAGAGTGGGGGAGGGGATGCTACTCTTGATGAAGAAGACTCAGAACCTAGCTTCTTGTCTCCCCCCAATCATGCAAAGGATTCCAGTGGCTAAGCATATGAGGGAGAAGGATGAGGACATCAAGGGGTAATAGAGACCCGGACCTTAATCACATTGAAATGAAGCCATCTTCTTCCAGATTCCTTGGGTAAGCTTTCAGTGTGGCCCCTTTTAGAGAACGAACTTTGAGAAGTAGAAAATATAGGTACAATGGCCATGTTACCATTTTTTAATTGTAGTTCAACCTCAAGAAATACAGTTCTGTCTTACCGTTCTTTTTACTGGCACATATGTCATACCAAACGACCTTTTAGCCCCCCATGGCTCTTTGGGTCAGCTACAGGAAGGAGTCACATGCAGGATGACAGCGCTGTAGCTCAAATTTAACCGGGGTCATACGCTCCTCTTCTCTCTTTCTTTCTTTCTGCCCAGCTAATGAATATTTTGGGGGTCTAGGTTCCTTTAAAAATAAAAAATTTTGTTAAGATAGACAAGCTTTGTCCTATTGATCCTCAACCATGTTGTGGTTCGAAGACCCAGGCGCTGTCCTAGCAGCGCACTTCACAGTCTGCATTGTACCTAAATCGCCAAAACCTTGGCCCAATTTTCAGGCAATAGATCTGGAGCCAGGGAGTCAGGAAGAAACCGATGGCCCAAGGAGTTAGATGGAGGCTTTAGATGGCTCAAAAATCAACGGGTTGGAAGGACAATGGGGTTTATATTCTGTCCTTCTACCCCCACATGACCTTGAATCTCCCATCTTGATCTTTAAGGATGCGGGCCTTAGCTCTCTGCAGCCCATCTCTGTGTTTGGTTCTCTTTCACAGTCTGTTCGGACTAATGCACGCCTGGGCTGTCCTTCCATGAACTAAGGCGCGCTACACACCAAGCTTTCCCAAGCCCCCGGGAGGAGGCGCTGGTGGCCGGTGGCCCGGTCGGTCGCGCGTCTCCCTCTCAGCCAGAGTTCTGGAGTCCCCATTCACAAAGCCTCGCTTGCAAAGGGGGCACACACACACACACACACTCACGCCCCACACACACTGCTTGGAGGGCAGTTTGATCTTGTCTCATTGGCGTCTCCGGCCTGAAAAGAAAATCATTTGGGTAAACAGCCAAGCTTCCAGGCTTAACGCCCTGCTCCCGCCTCCGCCCCTCTGTCCCTCCCGCCTCCCCCACTCCCCTTCAACCCCACCCGCCACCCACACTCCGCTCCGCTGCCGGGCCTACAGCGAGCTCCGCGCGTCCAAGAGGGAGCTAAGGGCTCCCTGGTTCAAAGGGCCGCAGCCCCGAGGGGATGCCCTCGTGTGCCCCGGGGTGCAGAAGCAGACTGCAGGGCAGTGGGACCAGCCTGGGCCACGGTAGGAATCTCGAAACTTCATGCACCCCTAAATAGCTGGTCCCAAGGGAGGGCACAGGGGAGTTCCGAGCCCGAAGGGACATTTCGCTAACATCTAGCGCAGGCCGGGCCGGCGACTGCTGGCTGCTGCACCTGCCGGCTGCTCCAGAGCCGGAATGGGTCCTCCTGGGTCCCCCAATTCTTCACAGGCGTTTGTCCGTTCGTGTGCCCTAATAGAGGAGCCAGCCTTGAGTTTCTTTGGCCTCCCTGCCTTGCATATAGGCCCTTGGGTAACTGATGACTAGGCCCCCACAGCCTTCAAAGGGCCTGAGTCCTGGAGTAGCCTAGAGTCTAGTACTAAGCGATTTCTAATGTTTGATCCCTCCCAAAGGAGAGTGTTTCATATAACTGTAAACATAATTGTTATTAATATGCCCCCAAAAAAGGAGTGGTTAAAAGGTTCCTGAATTCTCTCTAGCTCACACTTTTAAGCAGAGAGAAGCTTGAAATCTGGTATACTGATTAGACTATTAGACACGATTAAATGGCGATTCGCCCCCCACCCTGGTCCTCTAGTGAAAATTGTCCCTCTTCTCGGTAGTTCTTCCTACTCTCTTCTCTCCTCCTTCTCCCAGGCGCAGGCTCACTCTAATTTCGGAGTCATTAGTAACCCCGTCTGCATGTGTGGCTTGCGTGGGGGGAAACACTGGCATAGCTGTAACACTAACTCTTGCACCGCATCTTGCGGTGGGAAGTGTAATAGCAAGAAAATCATTTTTTAATCCCCAGGCTTTATTTTGTGTGTGTATGCCTGTATGTGGGGGTGGGGTGGGAGTGGGGGTGGCTGATCTCAGAAAAATATGAATCGAGAAGAGGCGCGTGGAAGAGAAAGAAATGGAGAGAACGGGAAAGAGAGGAGTAAAAGTTTCCGATTTAGGATTCAGAACCTCCTTCAAATTGGAGCCTTGTGGCTTAAAGTTCTTGTGAACTTTCTTCCTTCTGTTTTTGTCGCTGCACCTTATTGCCTGTCTCAGTGGATGCTAGGGTCCTCTCAGGAGTTGCCACTTAGCTCCCAGAATCTGTCAGCAACCATCTTTTCCACAAGTTAGCATTCTCACCCCAAAGCCTAGGAACTGGCAAAAACCTGGCCACCCCTCTGCAGCTGGCCCCTGGAAAGTCTTGCTAGGAATCTGAGATCTCTCTCAAGCATGATCTCTCAGGAACCTGTTTTAACTTAGTGGAAAAGGGACAAGCCAGCCAGAAAACTAAACTGGCTATTTTCCTGGTGCAGCCCTATAATTTCTGAGCGGGAGCCCTGAGAACCTTCTAATCTGCCGCTCATGGAGCCCAGCTTGTCGAGAGGCAGAGCACACACTCCATCTCCTGCCCAGGGATCACCCTACCAACTCCAAGAAGCACACTTTCCTAAAAGGCTAAGTTCTACTTGCTCAGGTAGAAAATATAGGGGCTTAGATACCACCACCTTGTCTCTCCCTCCACCAACAGTCCTCAGGCTGGCCATTGTTTTTACCTGTGGAATCTCTCTCTCTCTCTCTCTCTCTCTCTCTCTCACACACACACACACACACACACACACAGACACAGACACACAGACACAGACACACACACACACACACAGAGAGAGAGAGAGAGAGAGAGAGAGAGAGAGAGAGAGAGAGAGAGAGAGATCAAACACATAAGTCAAAACTACATTAGATGGAAGGTTCATAGTTTCATGTTGCCTTCAAAACAGATAAGCCATGCAGCTGCAGCCCTTCACTGGTCCAAAAGCAGGATGCTCCACATTCAAAATTTATTTTCAGTCTGGGAAGGGTGTTGTTTCTTATTACACTTGGCTCTGAGGTGAAAAGAAAATGAAACAAAAACTCACCATAGCATATCAGTGAGTTAATTTTCTGTATATTCTATAGTCTAGTCCAGTGGATGCATTTAAGCGTAGATAAACTGGCAAACTGGTTGAAACAAGGGCAAATAGCCAGTTGCACATTGGAGGAAAATAATGTTGTGTAATTCATAATTCCTGGCCATTGCTATTTTCATTGGTCGAAAGGCAGACGTGCAGGGGACTGCGTTTGCTGATTATGTCTCAGCAAGGCTGAAAATGGAGAGGAACCAGGCTCCAATAGGCCAGCCACCGTCCTGGCAAAGCCTCTGTGATACCCCAGGGGTCAGAATGAATGGATGTCTGTAGAAATCATATCTGGGAGGTTGTTATAACTCCATAGGCCTCTGCTTCATGGAAGACATTTGCATCCGCCTCAGCGGAATGACTTAAAACACACCGCAGCATGAACTGGAGGCCACCTGACTACGTGTCTCATTCATTTTATCTTTTCTCTGAATGCAGCTTAGGTGACTACCGTTGATTAGTCAAAGTATGCTTCTGAATTTTTCTTCCATTGCACATCTACAGATTTGTGTGTCACAAATGTTGAGGGTTTTTTGTTGTTTTGTTTTGTTTTGTTTTGTTTTGTTTTTCACCAGTTGAGAAAGAGGCCTGTGCGTTTCGGCTTCTTTGGAGATTTTAATAAAGGAAAAAGAACGAGTTAGGCTTCAGGAGCGTGGAAGGCTTGATCACGTTATTCCAGTTTCCGAAGCGAGGTGGCGCTCCAGGGCACTACACTGCGCCCGGGTTTCCGCAGCCGAATACCGGCTTCTTAGAGTTTGCTCTGGAAGGCAGCGATGTAAACGCAGAGTTCCTAAACGTTCCGCGCAGAGTCTAGGGGTACTCAGACTCTTTCAGGCCTAGTGGCCTACATGAGTAAGAGAAGACCCGAAGCCACTTCTGGGAGAAGGGGGTGGCTGCAGGGAGGGGAGCCCCACCAAGGCCCGGGCAGGCTCTGTGTTGGATCTGTAAAGTTCCAACTCTTGGTGGGACTGGAGCCGGGTCTAGAATACTGCAGAGGGACCTACGGCCTCCTCCCCATCTCCCTATCTGAGGTGGGCTAGCTAAAAATCACGGAGATTACTTCCTCATCCACCCAGTCTATCGACTCAGCCTCCCACTATCCCTCCCCCACATACAACCCATTTCCCCCCCCCCCCCGAAAAAAAAGAAGAAAAAAGAAAAGAAGAAGAAACAAGAAAGAAGAGGAGAATGAAGAATAAGAAGGCGCGCGCGCGCGCGCGTGTGTGTGTGTGTGTGTGTGTGCATCTGATGGTCTTTGTTTTGTTTCTCAAACTGGATCTTTTTTCTAATTTTTCTTTTCTCTCTCTTTTTTTCTTTTCTGCCATTTCTTCTCTTCTGTTTTCTCTTTTCTGTACATATATTTTCTTTCCTTCCTTTATTTCGTTATTTTTTGCACCCCATTGCTAAGGAGGGAGGGAGGGACAGAGAGAGAGAGAGAGAGAGAGAGAGAGAGAGAGAGAGAGAGAGAGAGA